CGTCATGTCAGTCCAGGTTCCCTCTGACACATATTCCCAACCACTGGCATGAAGTCTTTGCTCCGCCCCATCAAGGGGGGTGAGGGGCTCCTCTGGAGTATTCTTGAGGAGATCCCACATGGAACAAAAGAAGAGCAGGAAACCCATGGGACAGGGACCCAGGAACCCTCCTCCAGGATGGAACCCGCTGACAGTCTCTGTCTTTGGCAGTTCCAGCCCAGTGACCTCCTGACTCCGTCTGTGGGAGGGGATCTCTGCAGGTTCCCAGAGGGTGAGGTGCTGGGTTGGGGACAGTGGCGGTTCTGGGGAGCTGGAGGAAGGGTCTATAGGGCAAGAAGCAGAGGTGACTGGGTCCATTTAGAGCCCATGCCCAGGGCGGCTGGAATCTCAGATGGAATCACTCCTCAGATGCGGAGAAGTTAAGGTTGAGGACCACAGCTAGTACAGGACCCCACATCCTGAAGGTGAGAAAAGGGGAGAATGGGGGAGTGTGTGCAGGGTGCCAGGGTCTTGGGGTACTTCTTCCCAAATAGACACACACACACCACGCATACACATACAGGCTGTGGCTTGGAGCCTGGTAGGCAGCACAGGCACGCCCCCACAACCCGGCACACCCCCACCTGGCTCAGAAAGCCACCTAACTGGCACCTCCAGTTCCCCCCTCTGCCCCACCCTGCCCGTGCCCTCTGATGCCCACACACATTCCACTGGCATTGCCTGCCTGCCTCCTGGGCACTGCCCCTCCCTGAGGCCAGTGGGGTGGAGGGAGGGCACCTAGGGATGAGAGGTGGAGAATTGAGGGTCTAGACTCCCCCAAGAGTGGCACAAGGCCAAGGAAACCTGGGCTGCAGCGGCTGCTGCCTCCTGGGGAGCAGGCTGGGGGCCAGGCGGATGCCTGGGTTCTCCGCCCAGGCTGGGGATAGGGTCATGGAAAAAGGTGGTCCTGTTTATACAGAGGGGAGGGGGCAGCGGGTGGAGAGCAGCCGACAAGAGCGGCTTTGTTCCAGGCTCTGGAGTGGGCAGGGCGGAGATGCCCCCCCAATCCCATCCGGCAGCCCCCTTCATCCATGCCCTCCCCTCAACTCTACCTCAGCACTAAGAGAAGCAGCTTTGTAAAAGCCCCTTTCCCCTCATCAGCCCCTTTCTGAGGTGGCATCTCTCCCTTCCTCAGGTCCTCCCAAGAGCGAAGGTATCTGGGTCAGGTCGCTCAAGCATTTCCCTCTACCCTCCACACCACTGTCTGCAGCTCCCGAGCCCAGCCCATCCTCCTCCCCTGGGGTGGGGGCTGGACACCCCTTGGCTCCTTCTTGGAGGCCGAGAAATCAAGGTGCTGAAATGAGCTCCACCTCTGGCCTCTACCTTTCTTCACCCAACGCCCAGGCCCTCCCTGAGGCAAAGTAGGAAAGAAGCCAGGGAGAGATGACCTATCCACCTGTCCTCCCTGATGAGGACCGGAAGTCTGAGCATCCCGGCCTGGGACACCCCCACTCCGCACCCCACTTGGAAGCCCTTCTGCCCTACCTGTCAGGTTTCTGTTTCCTACCTCAGGTCAGAGACACTTTCCAAGCTAAGCTGAGTCTGGGGAAGATTGGGTGGGTGGGGACCTCCAGGAGCTTCTCACCCTTGGCATTGGAGGGGTTAATCCACCTGGAATGTGGCCCAGCCTGTTGGCCTGTTGCTCTGGCCTGGGAGACTCAGGGGCCCAGGACTCCTG